TCTCTCTCTCTCTCTCTCTCTCTCTCTCTCTCTCTCTCTACATACCTCATATGGTGGTTGTGGAGAACAAGAAACTCTTGGATATTCAATAATGAGAAAATATCTGAGTTGATGGTAGTTGAAGGAGCCAAGAGGGAGTGGCTTGAATTTGAGGCTGCTAATGACACTCACAGGATAGGGGGACAGGAAGCAGGGAGTAGGGGTTCAGTCAAATGATCCTAGTGCTAGTGTTACCAGTCACACCACCTCGAAGATCAGAGGCATAGCTACACCAACTGCTACTAATGTTGATGCTAAGAAGATTCAGTGGTTTGTCAATAAAAATCCTTTAGCTCAATGTCAAACTGAAGATTCTTTAATCCAAATTAGACAAAATGGCACTCTTTGGGAATTGAATAGAAATGGCTCAAAGCAGAAATCTTCATAAGAGATGAGGCTCTGAGATGCAGGCTAGCCAAGAAACAGCTTTTTTCTTGGCAATTGGAGATTCTGGCTATGGATATTCATTCATTATCTCTAGAGTATCAATCTATTTCCTTTCCTCAGATCTCATAAGCATTTTGTCTGGTTTGGTATTAGTTGTGTAGTGTGTTGGTTTGTTTGGCTGTGTCTTGGTTTACAAGATTGTATTTTGACGTCTGGCAATCTCCATTTCTTTCCCTAGGCTTGTAGTTGTTTTATGTTTCTTTTGCTTTTTAGTTTTCCTGTTTTTAGACCTTGTTGGTCACTGTAGGGAGGCCTTCTTAAGGTATTCCCATGGACTTATAGTCCTTTGCCTACCCGGTTTGTATATTGTGGTTGTATGCTATAAAATTTGATGTTTGGTAAAATAAATAAATAAATTACAGTCAATTTAAGCAAAGGTAAAGGTAGTACATGAACGACGAAGAGGGGTTAGCGCTGTGGCGCGTATCTTCGTTCGACGTGTACCATGTCCCGAGTTCGAGTCACCCGAGGGGGAATTGGGGAACTAGTATTGATCCCTTTTTAAAGAAAAGAAAAAAAAAAGGTAGTACATGAACAATTTTTTCTTTTAACAAAAAGTACAACCTAATTAAAGATTATATAAAAATTTGGTTCTTCGTAATTTATCAATTTTGGATTGTGTTGTAGTCTAAGTTGTCCTATATATCAATTTGTGATGATCCAAGTTAGACAATATCTATATCAACTTTTATTCAAACTTATTAGACATTTAAAAATTATAACACTTGTTTAACTTATTTTATAAATATATTTTAAAGTATAATATATTTGTTATTTATTTTTCGTATAAGGGAAAATGCTACGGTCCCGTTACGGAACCATTTCGTTGGGTCTGTAACCGTTAGATCAACTATCTCTGACGGTTATATGTTGATCTATCGGTTACAGACTACGACAGAATGATTTTGTAACGGGACCTTAGCATTTCTCTCATATAAGATATATTAAAGTAATTATCTTCTTACAATGTTTAATTTAATATCCATAATGGCCATATAAAATTTATATCTATACCAACTTTTATTCAAACTTATTAGACATTTTAAAATTATAACACTTGTTTAACTTATTTTATAAATATATTTTAAAGTATAATATATTTGTTATTTATTTTTCGTATAAGATATATTAAAGTAATTATCTTCTTACAATGTTTAATTTAATATCCATAATGACCATAGAAAATTTAAAAAATAAAATACATCTAACATTATATATTAATTAAATAACGCATTGATCATAATTCAACGACAACAAATTCATTATTTATCAATCAAATAAATTTATCCTTTAAGCCTATTGTATGGCATGGGTTAAAAAAATTATATAATTGAACAAATGAATTTTGAAGTGACAAGTATCATCTCAAATAAAATAAAACTTCCTTTTTCAAGCACTATTAAAATTAACAAAAAAAAAAACCAATTTTTATCTTTACTTATCAATTTTTTTAAGTTAAATTTCTTGATTAACATACCCAAAAATAATAATAATAATAATAATAATAATAATAATAATAATAATAATAAAAATTCTTGATTAACACCTAAAGCTGCAAACGAAACAAGCGGAGCGAGCGCTCGGGTCAAAGTTTGGCTCAAGGCCGAGCTCAAGCGGCCCAAGCATGTTATAGAATCGATCTCGAGATATGTAGCCCTAAATTAACACCCATTACAATTGTTGAAACGCTAAAAATACAAATCAATCATTCATCTCATTATTTGGTCATTAACTATCCACCATCTCCAATAATCCATTCAATTCAATTCGACAAAAACAAGCGGACATTTGTAATCCAAGAACAATAACTGCGAAAGACATATAATACAGAAATCCAGAGCATAATACAGGATACATAATACTGCAACTTATTTTCAGGTAGCAAACTTGCACCTGCTTCTAAGCAGCTGACTGCAACAACTAATTAGAAGCATAAGCTGCAAGTCCTCAAAAGATATAATTCAGGATTGTCAATAAACATTACCAAGGTCCAGATATTCGAGTATTTATCCGCAATAACTATTATTGAAGTGAGAAAGCCCACCAAGTGTCCAGCTACATTATTCTCCGAAAAAAGTGGCCACACCCAGGAAGACTTCAACAAATGCACTGTGTAGTAAAATACTAATAACCGATCCTTCTTTAATATTCGAAGGCTCCTGTCACACAAGGCAGATCAAACAGAAGTCATGCTTCTAACACCTGAAAACTAATGAATTAACAAGAACATAACTTCTCTTCCACAATGACATAAATATCCATCCAGTCACAAAAATATCTCAATCATTTTTTGCTATTACATGATAATTTTTCTCCGTGAAACCAAGGGCTTGCAAATGGTTAAAAGGAAATGATTTCCACATAAAAGCTAAGGAATATTTTCTTCAGTGTTCATAGACACTCCCCTTAAGTTGCTCGCAAATCCTAACGTTAAGATTAAATCAACTCCTCTTCCCTGAAGTTAAGAAGTCCAGCCAAGTTGTGCCCAACATTCATAAAATAAAATATAATACAAATTGCTAAGCCATATATGCTGAACCACAAATTTAGAAAGGGAAAGACTAAAAAGAAGAAATTAATCATACCTTCTCTGCAGTTGAACAGAACACTCGCACAATGCAAATCCTCATATAAGTTGGGTAAAAAGGCGACTCCTCAAAACCATCATGCTTTTGTCTTCCAGAAGCACTTAAAAAAACATCCAAGAGCGGCTCACACAAATCACTTAGTACGTCCTACCAAAACTACTAGCCACAACATATAAAGATGAAATCAACAGTTTGAGACGTGTCAAAATAGCTAATTTCTACTAACCAACCAAACTCTACGCACTTGCGGTATAAATAACCAACTCTGTAAAAAAGAAATATCATTCTACAAATGGCAGTCATCTCCAGGTGTCACCGTGGTACCTAGAGCTCTTATATTTCGACCCGTGTTGCTGAAAACCTTCCCTCTTCCTGCACCCACCGCGAAAGGATCCCCCACCCGCTCTGTAACTTTGAGTATTACCATGATAACCCGAATCCCTCACATTCCAAGACTCTTTCCCATTATCCCTCCACCCTCTCCCTGTCGAGCCTGTATAAAACTCCTCTTTATTATCATACCCAGAAAAACCATTAGAATTCCAGCGACCCCAACCCAACGAATCATTCCCACTCTGACCATAGTTACCAAAGGTGGATGACTTCTCAGTACCCTGTTGCCGACCCCAAGACTCATCCCCACTTTTCCAAACACTTTCCTTCAAAGAATCAACAGGCTGGCTGCAAGTTTGCTCCCAGGGGTTTTTATTTATTGAATTTACAGAATCATCCCATCTGGACCATCCCTGCACTGCATCTTTTGAACTTCCGGTGCCTTGCACTTGGTTCCTTTCCCATGGGTTATCGATGGTGGACTGAGTTTTATCATGTTGTGGTTCAACCTCTTCATTAATTGTCTCCAATTTATCAGGATCACAATATTGACGGTCAAGATCCGCCATTACTTCGGGATCGAGATATGGGTCCCAGTCGATCTCGTCAATGTATGTATCTGGGTCCGGTAAGGGGGTGTCACAGGGAATGCCATTGATCATGGCCCAGTACCGTTGTTTTGCATTCTGTAATGCTTCTTCACCAGCGGACGCATCCCAATGCTGCACGTTCGGGTAGCAGACAATATATTTTTTGGATGCCAATATTCTGTTCCAAGGGATTTTCGCCAACTTGCAATATTCGATTTCCCATGATGGCACCCTGTTGTCCTTGGATCCTTTGGTAAGAAAATGATAAATAGACAGCAATGATTTAAATTTATATGAAGAATAGAAAAAGATCAGAATTATAAATGTGGACAATTAATTCAAAAATTCAGCAGCAAAAAAGGGACAGCTATAGATAACAAACATGCTCAACCATGAAGTAGGAAAACACAGGAAGCAACATAAAGCCATGTATATTTAATCATTCTGCATGTATAGTAACCAATTTCAGGCAGCTGATTAATCATTCGGCTTTACTGTTTGAAATGATTCCTTCTTTTCATTAATCAGATAACTGTTAATCACGATGGCTCAGTAAAAATATACGTCGATTACCTAACTGCAATAACAGACTATCTTTTAGACCCTCCTAGTTGAAATCCTTGTAAGAGAACATATGCATAAGTTTCTAAGATTCAAATTTAGAAGTTGAAAATTTTTATAACAAACTTTTCAACTAAAGATTTGCCACATTACAACAGGATAATCCTGTTAGAGGTAGCAAGTCAAGAAATGAAGAAAAAGGAAGTTTGCCTATAAGAGCTGAATATTCGTCTAGCCCTAATGTAACAAGTCCTAGGTTTTTTGCAGATAATCTATCACACAAGCGAAACACCAAATTGACATTCTCGGGCAATTACTATGCGAGTGACATATAATTAGGATATTCAAAACATTTTCTCCTTCAAATTGAACGAGTTCTTCCTTTTCAAGGAACATTTAGCAGTAAAACAAACCCTTTTGTCCAAGCTCTTGATTCCACCTTACACCAAAACAATGTCATCAAGTGATAGTTCATAAAATTAGAAACTTTTACACAACTTTTACACGCCCACCACTCGAACACACGCTCGCCAATAGAGCATTTTGTTTCGATTCTTGCTTGTAATTCAGAAACAAATAAATGAAAAATCCAAGAAAATGCACCATGGATCGCAGAAACAATTAACATAGAACAAAGAGCGAGGCATTTTCCTTCAATTCTTGCTCTAGTTTTCGACTCAGCCCGCAATGACTACTCCTCCATTCACAAACATTCAGAAATAATCGCAGTCGACCGGAAAACGTACAAATCAGACGCAAACGAAGTAAAGATGTCCATACCAGAAGAATGCGAGTGATTGTTTCCAAGGGGCCTTGGGGGAGACAAAGAAGGATCCTCAAATTCGTCTTGTCTGAACTTCCTTCGCGGCAAATATCTGCGGTTCCAATTCCCCATTGCAATTCCGAGACTACAGAGAAGTAAACGAGAGCAAATATACTGACAAAGATTTTTGAGTATTAACAAAGCATCATCTGCAAATCAATGGGGTTTGGTAAACAAAACCTAGAAACTTCCCCTGTTTGGCCCTGACTATTCTGCTCAGAGTTCGATGAGCAATATGGTGTCGGATTACCCTTTTTCAACCCTTTTTTCTTTGAGATCTTGAAAGGCCGAGAAACGGCTTGCCTATATTGACCATACCCGATTTTTACAGTAATCACGGTTCTAAACCCGGTCCGGAAATTGACTCGGACAGGTCTCCCGATCACCGGTTCAACCGTCGGGTTATCGAGTCAATTGCTGAATTGGACAATTAATTTTAAAATTTTTAAAATTATATATATAATATTTTTGACATATAAATATACATAAAAATAACAAAAATAAATATTTTGTATACAAAATTTGTACATTTAAGTGTTAATAATAATAATAATGGTTCTCACAATAAATATTTACTATGTCGTTATATAAACATAGTATTTATTTTTTTATATAAAAGAATATTAGAAAAATAAAAATTTATAGAGACTGGATCAACCGGGTTGATCCGACCGGGTCAATGACCCGAGTTGGTCGGGTTTTTACCAGGTTTGATCGGATCTATTGTTACCCAGTCCAAATAGCCCACCTAAATCGGTTTTGGCTCCAGATCGACCCGCTGGTACGGTCCGAGTCACAAAACTATGCGGTTGGGTCTTTCCGTGGGTTTGCATTTACTTTGGCTTGGGATAACTGCCAGCTCGTGATTTAGTGGGACACCATCCTATGGAGGGCTAGTTTGTTTTAATCCATTACTTAAAGGGATTAAATTGATCCGTGTCCTTTGGGGTGAATAGTTCAATCCCAAATTATTGAATCAAAACGGGAACATCTATCTAGAGATGGCCACATGACGCCCGGCCCACCGAATCGACCTAGACTCGGCACGGTCAGACTCGTGGTCAATTAGTTTGGACCCGGCCCGGATTTTAATTGGGTTGAATCAAGGTCGGTCATTTTGAAGATTTAACCCGTCGAGCTAGGTCGGCCTAGGAAAAAAAACAATGGTTTTTATTTTTTTTTTTATTTTTTTTAGATTATCTTTATCCATAACCCAACCCAACCTAATATTAAAAAATTATTTCACTCTCCTCCACATATACAACTCAATCTACAACCTAATTAATCTTTATCCTCAACCTAACTCAACCTAAATATTTATTACAATTTAATTTATTTAAAAATTATAATGTTTTTCCAAAATATATCAAGTGTGGTCTCTATTTGTAGAGAATGAAAAAATACGAATTTTAATATCTTTTTTATTTTTTTTAAACAAAAAAAATACACTTATTCAATCAAAATAGGACATGTGTCTCATTTTCAGGTGCGATCCATGGTCACAATATGACCTGAGTCGCTGATTTTTCACGACCTTCTCTTTTTTTTTTTTTTGTTTTTAAATGGTGACCCAAGTGGTTGGGTCACCACTAAAGTTGGTCTTAGGGCGAGCCTGGAATCCGAGTTGGGCCCGACCGGGCCTATACCTAGGTAAGGGTTGGTTCATGATTGCTTGTCGTGCCGGGCTAGGATTTACATCCATTTGATCCTTTTCTATTGTTCTTCTTACTAAAAAAAAATCACTTTTTGTTCGCACTTATTTAGGCGAGTCTTCTCTTCAGCAGTGTGAATCAATGGCTCTCTCAGACAGTGTAGAAAGTGTCTGGTCCTTTATTTATAGTTCTTGTATTAACCGGTCTGTGCATCTGATGTTTCGGATGAGAGGGATCTTTCCTACATCGATTAGCAGACACTTCCTCAATCTCTCTAACCATTGAAATTTGCCTTACTTTATTAAGGGCAGTTTATTGAGAAAAAATATTAGGGTCATTTGAACGGTCTTTCTTGCTCAATTATGCAAGTATCGACTATGGAGAAAGACAATGGCTAGTGTCTTTTAGAAGAGCGCCATAATGGACATTTATTTATGTATAAAACAAAATGTATTGTATATTTATCCGGGGCAAATTTAGATTTCAAACATGAAATTAAAATGTCTAAACAGTACAATCCCTTACGATGGGATAAAATCAATTATACCATATCTTTTAAAGCAAACAAACTTAGGCCTCATTTGTTAGGGGAGATTAGATGAGATCAGCCTCTAATCTGTCCAAAATTATTTGTTTGTTTGAATAGATTTGGGCCCGCAAGATTGTAGCAGGCCCGCGATGAAATGCCCAAAAATCGGGCGTTTTGGCGATAACTCAATTAGCAGTATGAGGCCCTGACTTAAAACATATGTACAGTGCAATATTTTATTTGGACCATTATATCCCTTCCATTTTAAAATGTATGACATGTATACCTCTTTACAACTAATCATTTACACGGCTGTCACCTCTAAAAAGGACTTTATATGTTGACTTCTATCCATTATCTTCACATTTCTCATGCACTATACATAACTGAGCTTTCGGTCGAAGAACCCTAGTAAGCATCTCTGAACTTCTAATTTTTTATTTTTTTTTTGTGCTGTAAAAATGTAGATCGACATGTCCTGTTTTTAGATTAAAGTTTTTAATTATTTTTTTTTCTCTATTTATGCTTATAAGTCAGTATTTCAAAAAAAAAAACAGAGTAAAATAAAATGAAGAAGTTTTAATCTGTAAAATTTTTGTTAAACTCTTTTTTGCAGAATTATTTGAGAAGTCGATGTGCACCTCCTTAATTCACCCGAACGGCGGGTATGCTGTCACAAACCAAAATACAACATTTTTTTTTTCTTCATCTGGTATCGATGCATCGCCGATACTGTGTTTGCATTTGTTTTGTATTTTGAAAACCAGGCCATCGATGTACTATTATTATTATGTTGTATCTTGAAATGGGCAATGGTGATTGTTCTTTATGTGTTTAAATTTGTTTATTACGTGCGTAAAAAAGAAAAGCAAATGTGTAGTTCTCCCATTACTTCATGGGTATTGGCTGAATACATAAAATACTCGTACATGGATATATATATATATATATTCCTGGTTCATTGATAAGTATGCCACATGATTAGACAGACGACGTTCTGATGGACATTGAAATGGAGGAAGTGCAAGTACTAGTGGTTGTACAGGAAATATTTATTATGTTGAAAGTTGTGTTGTTGATTGGTGTTATGTACCTAAAATATTTCGGACAACAAAACCGCCAACGTAAGTCGAGGTCTCGGAAGAAGCGTACTTCCATCAGAATGTCAGAGCGGCTTCCTAAGCAGGTACAACATATGCAAGAACTTATACGCGTTAGCGATACAACTTGTGTTCAACAACTCCGCATGGATCGAAATGCCTTCGGGCGATTTTGTTACCTTTTAGAAAACGTTGGCAACCTCGATATTTTTGTTTGTGAGCAAGTTGTCGTTTTCCTCAGCGTTTTAAGCCACCATAAAAAGAATGTTGTTGTGAAACATGATTTTCAAAGGTCCGGTCAAACCATTAGCAAGCTATTTCATAATGTACTCAATGTTGTCCTTTCGTTTGTACCCATTTTCTTGTTGTGCAACCAAAACCGGTTGATGAAGACAACGATGACAGACGGTGGAAGGGGTTCAAGGTATGTGCTGCCATATAAAGTCGAAGTCCATTTTCAGAAGAAGAAAAAAAATGGTCCTCAGTTATGATAGTTAATATATGTAATTTCACATGTTCGTATTATGCAGGGTTGTTTAGGCGCATTAGATGGTACCCACATTCCGGTTCGTGCCCCTTTGCGTTTGCACCCGCAGTACAGAAATTGAAAAGGAGTTATTTCTGTCAATGTTCTTGGAGTTTGTAATGTGGAGATGAATTTTTCGTGCGTACTAGTTGGATGAGAGGGTTCAACAGCGGATAGTCACGTGTTAAGGGATGCGGTTGCACGCACTGGTGGTCTACAGGTTCCTACTGTTATTGTAAGAAGGACCACGGTTGTTTATTGATGCTTCACAATTTAGCGTGTTCACTTGTGTTTATCTGTTTATATATAATGAAAATGTTTCTTCACAGGAAACTATTATCTATGCGACGGCGGTTACACGAATGGACTTGGTTTTCTAGCTCCTTTTAGGGGTGTGAGGTGTCACTTGGATGACTACGGGGAAAGTGAACGAGCCCCTAAGAACCATAGAGAATTATTTAACCTAAGGCATGCTAGAGCAAGATATGTTATCGAACGGGTATTTGGAGTGCTGAAGATGAGGTGGGAAGTTCTTAGGAGCAAATCCTTTTCCGACATAGTGACACAAAATAGAGTCATCCTTGCATGTTGTCTTCTCCAAAACTTCATACGTGTAACAATGAGTAATGATCAGTTGGAGATTGATGTTGATAATGTTTTGCCCGAGCGGACTGCCGAAGAAGTATTACATCCAAATGAGGCGTACGTGGATGCCGTTGAGCCTACGTATGAATGGACAAATTTTAAGAAAAGGGTTAGCAATGTCAATGTTTAATGAATGGCACGGTGCAAATTGAGGGTTTCTGGGTAGAGAGGATTTATTTTACGAACTTGTTACCTATTTATGATATCATATTAATTGTATTTTCGAAGCGTGATCTATGAAGACACCATGTTGTTTGAAATGAGCCTTTTTTATATGTTAAGTGCCTAGAAATTTGGACTTTTTATATTATTGACTGTTGTGTTGCTATATCATCGATAAATTTTGATTATCCGTTCATTTAGGCCTCATGTGCTTCTTATTTTTTTTTTCCTAGAAAGGAATGGCACCAGCAACTAAGAAAGGCGGTACGGGTGCTCTAGTCAATGCACGTCGCGTATGGACATTTGAAGAGGAATGTGCATTAATCCAAGGTTTGAAAGACCTTGTTGCAACGGGGTGGAAGTGCGATCATGGTTATCGTTCAGGATACACGGCTATTTTGGAACAACATATGAATCTAATTTTTCCTGGAACAGATATTAAAGTCGAACCACATCTC